TAAATCATTTGTATGTCTGTATGATAAAAAGCAAATATAAATTTTCAAAAAAATTTAACCTTGCATGGTGTATAAAGAGAATGTATAACATTCTTGAGCATAAATACATCTCAGATCAAACCTATTGTATATACACAGAATGCATAATGGGTTTGCTTGAAGCCTCATGCTGCGGTTAAACTGGGAATCTTTCTATGACCGATATAGATATTTGCAACGCTGATGGTACTAGCTTTCTCTGCACTTGTGCATATGCAGTTTTTCAGGACTAAGACACAGAATCTTCAAGAACATGTAGGTGTGCAAAGTATATATAACACCTATCTATTATTGTAAGAGTCAGCTGTGGAAGCTGACTTTCTGTACCCTAGGAGGACAGAGCCTGCAGGGAAAAAGCGGTATGTTAAATAAATAAACACATATGCCAGTTGGAACACAGAAGATAAGCTGGAGCTCCCATCACATTTATCTAACGGTTTAAGAAAGCAATGAGGAGCTGCTGCAAGTATACGCCAGTTTGATGATTCTTAAGTGCTCACACTGCAAGAAGAGGAAAGACGCTCTGGCTGCCAGTAGCACAAATAAGGAAATGTCACTCACTGCCCTGCATTTGCTTGTGCAGCTGCACAGCGCCACACGGCACGGTGCTATGCTGAGCTACGTGCTTCAGTCCTGCACCACCTCCAGCTGGGCAGCGGGCGCTGGGCTCCTGAAAGAGAGGGAGGGATGCCTGCGCAGTCAGGTGTGCTGTGCTGGATTTCAGATGTGCTGGTCTGGTCCCAGGCACAAACCAAAAGAAGCTGCCCTGTTACTGACAGCCATCGTCCACATCCTCATGTGCCTTCGCAGCCAGACGGTTCCTTCTGAGACGGAGACGGCTCTGCCTGGGTGGGCTCTGCAGGCAGCAGCTGTGGAGCTCGCTGGAAGAGGAAGGGATACTGCCGACGTGTGTGAATGCACATATGTGTGTGCACAAACACATGCACACTTTTGCTTGTGCTATATCCAGGCCTGGCATAAGTCACATCTGCAGGTCTAGAACTGCAAGTCAAACGACCAGACTGTTATTGCTGAGTTTGAAGGAGTGTGAGGTTCACTTGCATCCACACGGCCAGGCGCCTGGATGAAGATAAGGGGTGGCTGTGCGCAACCCCTCTACGTCTTGCTTGAATTGCAACCTGGGCAACTAGGAAGCAGGGGACAGAAATCCCTTCCACTGACCCTCCTGCCAGGACTATCAGAGGTCTGGGACAGCAGGTCTCACCGCAGCACCTGCCTGCCCTGCGCGGGGACTGGGTCATGGCGGGAAGCTGCTGGGGCAAGCACGGAACCTCATCTGGCATCCCTATGGCAAACTCTTTCTGAAGCGTGTGGGAACTCTGCTCCCCAGTCCCAGTTTCTTGCTCGAGGGCTGCTGCTTCTTTAATGTTAGCAAAAGCTGTCTCATCTCTATACTGACTCTCCGCAAATGTAACTGCAATTCACAGGAAACCGATGTGAGGTGGAACAGCAGTGCTGCACACAGGAGACCTACTACAAGAATGATATTTATTCCCTGCTTCCAGTCACACGCCAGAGAGCAGGTTTATGAAAGGTTAATACCCCCTTATACAGCGGCTGTCAGTTCTCACTTCTTCCAGCAGCTATGTTTCAGTCTTTCTTCCTCCACCCCCTCCTTTTCTCCTGTCTAAGAAATGCAGCTCAAGAGACATGAAAGGGAGAGAATGAAGAAATAATACCTGTGTCCCCAGTCGGCAAAAGTGTGATGACCCAAGTGGTGTTAGAAGTGACTGGGAGTGCTGTCACTGAGCTGCAGTGCCCAGCTGATGTTTTGGCCAGGTTTTCTTCTCCATCTAGTCTCAGCAGTGGCAACCCTCTTCTAACAACAAGGTAGGAGCTCCCGCTCCAGTTTTCTCCTCTGATCCAGCAGCTTTGTGCTCTTTCAGTGATATAAATTGTTATCCCCAAGTTTTGAGAGACATCCCATGTGAAGCCCCTCCATCCAAAGTGTCTGCTGTCTCCTTAGGTGATAAGGCAGTGATTTCACACCCCGCCCCTCTGGACCACACTTGTGCACATGTGAGGGCATGCAGTTAGGGAATAAACACTTCTACAAACTTCCTTCCTTAACCCTTCCTTTACTCACCTGTCTCTCTGGTGTGACATTAATAGAATTTGACATTGTGGCATAAACCGTTAGTCATCCTGCCAGACTAGTAATTTGGTCAAATGACAAACTTTCAATCATTTGAACAAATGGCTATTTCACTAGGGCATTTGATCAAATGATTAAAACTAAAAGGCATTTGGCCACATGACTGAAGATGTGATCATGGTTCTGGACAGGTGCCGCAACAGATTTTTATAAAACAATCAGACTAGAGTGTAATTCTTCATTCTCCACAGCTTCAATAAAAACATATCCTGCCTGCTGTTGATTTGAAAAATAATTTAGTTTCTTTTGCCTTCTACCTGCTTGCTCCTGAGTAACCTCTCTCTTTTCTAGGGTGCTTGGATCTGAGCCTGCTCGTACAGCAGTACGCTCGATGTAATGCCCTACCTCTTTGGCCCTGGGTAGGTGGAGAGGGGAAGAGGCAGTGGCACGTCAGTGTCCTTCACATATGGCTGGAGACCACCTGGAGAGGGTCATTGCCGACAACTCAAAGCAAAGGCTGGCCTCCTGCTACCCTGCCCAGGGAGCAAGCACAGCAGAAGAGGAAAAAGCCCCTCACCTCAATGGCCAGTTGTGGCTCACTGTAATACTATTTCTCCCTCTCTGGTGCAACAGAAAAGCTCTGGGGACTGGCATTTGGAGATGTGTCTGGGGATTGATCTCTCCCACAGAGATTCTCCTGGGCACCTTACCCATTCCCAGCCTGTTCTGTTTATTTACGACAGCAGGAAAAACTCTTTCCGGGCAGAGAGGGGGCCACAGTCTCTCTTCTGTGGAGCTGATAAGCTGTGACTGAAGAGAGACGATGTTTACGGCAAACAGCTTCCTACGGCTACAGACAGATTAAGAGTATGCTTACCAAAAATAAGGTTCAGTTCATTGAATTACTGAAGTTCAAGCAGGGAACACAGAATATACAAGTGAAGAGAGGACTAAAGCACCTAAGCAACAACTACTGTGATGCATTTAGACAGTATTCTCAAATCACAGTACTTGATGTTTTTGCCAAAATTTTAAAAAAAGGCAGAAAAAAGACTATTTCCTGACCAGGTTCATTGTCCAACCACTGTCTCTTTTAAAGTTCTCTGGCACGTCCACAAGAAATGTGATCTTTACATGCTGTTGCTGGGGGTAGGCTTGGCTCCTCAGAGGTATGTGAAAGTATGTGATTGCTGGACGAAAGTGAAAATTAAGCCACTCAGCTGGCAGCAGCCCTAGAGGTGTTTTGATTGCCCACAGTACTTGGAAGGCCCAGGAAAGCGATGTCTTCCCTCCTATAGCTTCCGGAGGCTGTTTTCAGCCTTCCCATTTAACATAATATCACAAGAAATGCCCTACTGGGTCAGGCGAGCGGTCCATCATGCCCAATGCTCTGTGTTAAGAGAAGGAATTTAAGGAGAGCACAAGAGCCTTGCCACTCTCTGTGACCCCGTTCCCTTCATCTCTCCCCTGGCACCGACGCTTGTTGGTGTGCTAGGGATGGTGGAGAGCATATACCTGTCTGTTCTTTCCCTTCCACCTGTTTATGAACCTGTGACCCATAAGGATGTCTAATCCTTCCTACGGCTGTGCCTAAGAAAAGGAGAGACCTCATCCTCAAGGCCCCTCAAGACCTCTTGTCCAATAAGCTTTATTTCAAAATGGAGAGTCAAAATGTGCAGGCAGGAAGATCCAAGATGCACCGTCTATAGCAAAGGAACAAGAAGTGTACACTTCTGGCCAGGTTACAGCAAATTTGTCAAGTCAACACAGCAACTGTACTTTCCTTCTCCAACAAATGGCGTATCCCAATGAGTGATTCAGGCTGAAGAGTGCCTTCACCTGGTGTCTGCACTACACAACATAATAGGATCCTGATCTTGATCCAGATTTCTCAGAAATGTGCAGACACAAAGATAGCTACAATTCCTCTCTGTCTCTGTATGTATTTGCATCTGTCCCTTTTGGGGAAAACTTTTTTTTAATCCTTCCTCTGCTGAGTTACATGACAAGAGGCTTTTAACTAAATGCTTGGAAGTTTCTATTTGGCCAGGGGACTTTGAGATTATCATCTGGGTAAATGACTGAAAATTTCAGCCACTTGGCTGACAGAGTGTTTGGGGAAAATGCCTTATCTGCTGGAATGATGTGATGCATTTACCATCATAATGACTAAGGCATAGATCTGTGCATATGGGAACTCCTTTCCACCTAATAAATAATGCTTGCTTACTTGCCCCACTAGGGCATAGGGAAGATTCATTAATTACTGGCTCTGCATAGCCTGGAAGTCAGAAGATGCAAATACTAGCTGTTTTTATCTTGTAAGGCAAAAGGCTGCATTTGGGTTTGAAGCTTTTATTTTGGTGGAGACGCAGCCAGTAGTTTGTCCTGCAGTGGGGCTGTTCACCCAGCTACTTGAGGCAAGTATAAATCATACGGACCGTGTGCAGTACAGGAGAAATCTACTCTATGCAAAATTAATGTTGGGCTGGCCTAGCAGAAGCAGTGCACGTAGCAAAGGTGAAGTGCACAGTCTTAGGGGGAAGCTGTGTGTCTGCCCACCTGGTAAATTTATGTCTTTCACCTCTAGAACTTCAATTCATGCACAGTGTGAGGTTGTAAGTGAAATGAATTTATTGGTGTCAGTTCATTCCCTAATGGGTAACAGTTCATGTCACAAAATCAGCACAGATAATTTGTCATGATTGGAAGTCTCTTCTAAAGAGAGGCTCAGGAGTGCAGGGGTATGGAGGAATTAGTTCCTGGCCCCTGGGAGAGAAGGCAGAGCTCTGCAGAGAAGCCTACAGCAGAGGAAACAAAGGTAATAACTAAACCTGCCTCCCACCTCCTCGCCCCATTATGAACTGTGTTAAAGAAAGTTCCTGTGCAGCAAATTCAATGCTAATGAAAAACAGGCCTCCCTTATATTACACTTCATCTTAGAACGGGAATAAGATGTAACGGTTATGTTAGATCAACACTAAAGTCACTAGGAAAACAATGTTAGCAGAGCATAACAGAAGCAATGGACCATATCTGCAGCTGTGCCAAGAAAGAAACACCACCCAGTGACCCCTCATGGTTTACTGAAGGGGAGATCCTGCTGGCAACGCTGAGGGGCCTTGACACTGTCCCAGGCCGCTCCGTCTCCTCTGCAAGCTGGCCTTTCATTGCCTGCTTCAGTCTCCGTTTCCATCCTGTGAGGAAAAGCAGCCAAGACATACTCACCGTCAGATACTTCAGACCCTACAAACTGAACCTGGACCATGTTCAGATCTGAAGGGGGAATGCTTTGGAGTTGCCTAAATCCTCAAATGTTTGGAGTACCTAAATCCTCAAAATCCACTAACTGATCCATAATAAATAACCTGGAGAGTTACCACAAATTTGGAGCTATTTGGAGCACTGTCTGCATGAAGTTCCTTATCCTGGTCAGAGTGTGATGGCCGGACGAGCATGGCATTTCTCCCGGAAGTGTCCCCCTGGGGCTGGGGCTGCCTGGGGGTAGCACAAGGACATCCACATCACTTCCAGCCCTCGGAGAGGCTGGGCTGGGAAAGCCTGCATCTCGATGTAGAGTCATTTACACCTCTTCCCAGTGCGTGCAGAACTGTGTGGCTGTGGAACACCTGCATGAGGTTGGCTGGGGTGTTTCTACACAGCACTGCATGGGAAGGACATAGCAAAAATACGTGTTCCATCCACTGCCATCTCATGTCTTTGACTCCTATCTTCTCTTCCACTTGACTTGCGAGGGAGAAGTAGCACAGGAGAACAGAAACCCTATGAGATGTTTGTTCTCCTCTCACAAAGGGTTATCACCTGAGGGATGACTAGAAACTGCTCTTCCTGTGCCCTGGGAAATTCTGAATTAAACAAACAAATAAATGAACAAAAACCCTGCCAAGCAAACAAACCTCAAGCTAATTTGATTCCAAAAGAAAAGGAAGAATGTAAAAAGAAAGGACACTCTGTCTCTCCCAGGGTGCTGTGATCCTCCAAGATTTCACACAGTAGTATTTTGATCCACTTGCTATCTCCTCAGCGTTCCCCAGGCTTGCTGACTGGCCAGGAACTCCAGCAGCTGGGAAGCCCAGGGAAATCCCACTGCCAAGGAACCAGGAGCCTGGGGGCTTGGCAACCTTGATTCCCAGCCTGCCAGCTCCCCACTAGCCTGCCAGGTGGGCTGCCGGGGAGCAAGGTAGGCAAGCTTTCAAAATTTGCTTGGCAGGGAGGATGCCATCCCAAATCTGCCGGGTTTCTGGGACAGATTTCCAGAGTGTTTCAATGCCAGGGTATTAGCTTTTTCTATGCCAGATAGGCATGCCAGAAAATTTCTAACCAGCTGTACTTTGAACAGTAACCGCTAGAAACTATCAGCTTAAACCCAGCCCATCTCTCAAGTAAGTAGCTAAAGCAGTATAGGGAGCAAACCTAGCCACTGTGATAGCAACACCCACTCTGCATTCAGCACTGCCTTCTTCAGATGTGAGCAGTGCAGCCTCGGTGCGTGTGGGCAGCCCAGTTCCAGTGTCAGAAGGATGGACTCCAGGCCAAGGTACACAAGGGATGTGGCCTCTTCATGTCTGCTCTACTAGATAGGCCCTAGGCTTGAATGGGGACGTGGGTTCATTCCCCTGTCAATCAGACTTGCACACATACAGTTCCAATAATGAATCAAGCTGGCTTGGTCTTGGCCTCAATCAATCAAGCCAGCATACTGCACAAACCTTCATTTAGGCTGGCAATAACAGGTAAAAGCCCTAAGCATGGCTGATGAAGAGTAACTCCCCATTGCAGCAGTTCTTCAGAGGGCAGAAATCTTTTGGTGTGCATAGGCAACATTCTGTCAGAGATATTGGTCAAAAATTAAAGATGGTAAGGAAAAAAATTTGGTCAGAGACCAAACTCAAAGATTTGCTATTAAAAATGTATGAAGAGAAATGTAGTGATGTTGGCATACAAGATTCAGAAGGCATTAAAAGCTCAAACTCTGGGAAATTCCATCAATTTACAGAAAAGTAGGAATACTTCTGCTTTAATTTAAGACTGCTTGAGAAAACAAAACTGCCTTGAAAGTTAACTGGGGTGCTTCCAGGCCCAGAGCTGGGAACAGGGTGCATAGGTAGCGGGGAAATAGTCGTACAGTCAGAGCAGAGGCATTCACTGGTCCTGTATGATGAGGTCATCTGGGTGATGAGATGTCGTGTGACATGGCAAAGACTGTTCTACAAGATAATGTAGAAAATTAATATTAGGCACCAGCCTACAACCAATCTGCTTATCGGGCAACTCGACAAGCTCTCCTCAATCACAGTAGGAAAAGTCAGAAAAAAGGTATCTCTGCGAAAGTAACTTTCCTCTCCCAGCTGTGCTGAGCTGACAATTCAGGTTTAGAAAAAGCAAGCTGCGCTGGACCCATGCTTCAGACCCAACCAAAACAACGTTTATCAGCTCCTTCCAGATGTTCCTGCAGCTGTATCACCTCACCATCGCAGTGATTGCATGTGGCACCAAAGCAAATTAAGAGCTACATTTTTGTAGGCCTTGTTGGTGTTCTGTGCTGTGTACTCCAGCTCTCTTCTCAGCACATTTTTTACACACTAGTGTCCTCAATTACTTTTCCAAATGAAAGGGAGTCATGCTACTTTAATTAAACATTTAATTGAAGGGAGAAAAAAAAAAAGGAGGGAGGGAGCTGATGTTTGCCAACTAGGAAAGGATAACAGTGAGAGATCGCTGCTTCTGAATGCAACCTCACAATGCTGCTTTCCACAGTGAGAGAGGCACCCTGGGCCTGGGCTCATGTATCAAAGCACAGCTCAGCTCCTATTCAATTAATGTGTCTGTTTCGACAGGCAGGTTTTGTAAAGCATTGTTGGAAATGGTTTCTAATTTTCCCTTCAGTTTTTGGCTGGCTTAATTAAACTTACACCCACTGAACCCTTGTGTCTCTCCAAAGACGAACTGGTTATTGACCTAAGGGATTTTTTTTTAATCATTTCTATGTTTCCCTGGCCACCTTCGGTGAATTAGTAAATCCAGCTTTTTTTTTTTTTTTTTAAGGTTGATCCAGCACTGAGGTGCTTCTATTCCCTCCCCCTCCAGGAGCTGGCAGAAATGTATCGTCTTTCTCTTTCTGCAGGAGCTTGAGAACTCAATCAGCTGTAACTCGCCAGGCTCGGCCCTCCAGAAATAAAGAAGTCCTCCAAGCCAGCTCCTCCAAAGCTGAATCAGGAGGTCTGGGTGCTTCTCAGCCCTTGCCCGAAGGTAGGCTTACTCGTGAAAATAAAGTTCTTCGCATGTCTGAAAGTTCATGGGAGTGGGGCCTCGTGAACCTAGGGCACAAGTTTGTTTTGTGAGTAACTGAACTGAGAAGGTTTAGTTTGCTGTCAGCTTGGGTCCTAAGAGTGAGTAAATCCTGGTGGATTTGCTAATGTCTGTGACAGATTGAGTCACACAATAGCCTCTCTCTCACTGCGGAGTTAGTAAGGTCTCTCTTCAGTTGCCTGGCCTAAAAAGCTTGAGGTCTTATTATATTTGGTACATCTCTTAAATTCAGTGGAAATCTGCTAATGAGTTCAAAAGTTACAGGAAGCAAGAATGAACAAACACATGGTTGTAGAAATCTCTTTTCCTTCAACGAGCAGGCTAAAAATGAAGCCGAAGCCTGGGAAATGTGGCTGGGAGTGAACCTCATGCCACTCCTATGCTATTTACCTGCGGGCCTGACTGTGTAAAACATAGCACCCGTACTTCATCTGATGTTATTTCTCAGTGCAGGCACAAAGTGTCTTTGAAATTTAGGTTCTATCTCCTTGTTAAAGGATGAAAACAGTCAAAGATGTCAAAGTACAAGAGAAGACTTACACAAAGAGAACATCCTCTGGAATATAGGTATTGCCTTCACACAGTTGTTCTAGTCGCCACTAATAAAGCAGGGGCCAAGGAAGGGTAAACTGGGCCACTCTAACAGGGGTGACTCAAGGCAGAAAGAATGACAAGCGGGAGATCAGAAAACTGAAAGCAAATCCTACGAGCAGGATTACCTACCTTTTTCCTCTCCTCCAAATGTTTTAAAAAAGGAGTAGCATATACAGTGCTTCTCAGGGAAGAGCTGGCTAAAAGCTCAAGAGGAATACAGTCCTGTCTGCCCACAAAAGACTGTACAGGCTTGCCGTTATTTAGGGCACAAAAGCTCTGTCCCATTCAGACCTGCAACCTTGCTGTCACTGCTCTGTAATGGTAAAGGGGTGGAAGTGCATCAGCCGCCTGGTTTTCCCCTCTCCGGCAGGCAGGATAGCCGTTCACAGCAGGGAGCAAAACAGGCTTTCTCCTCAGCATCTTGCTGTGCTATGGATTAGATTCAGATTAACCCAGCAACCTGCCATCCTCTCTCATCCACACCCAAAAATGCCAGCAAAGGGAAGCTGACGATTAGGAAGAAGAGCAGGTGAAGTTCAGCCTGAATTTCAACGTCACTGAAAATCAACCGTGTCAAAAGCAAAATGGATCTAGCCTTTAAAAATAGGCACACAGTGTGTTCACTGGGCTCAGGATGCTCTGCTGAGGGTTGGGCTGAGAGCGATAAAGGAGGAGGCTGGTCTCACCTGAGGCTCCAAGCAGGGCGACTACTGTGGTCCAGCCTTGGTTCTGCCACCCACTGGCTCAGGGACAAGACATACCACTTCATCTCGCTCTGCTTGAGTTCAGCCACTTCTGAAATGGAAGTACTAAAACATCCCCACCATGCCGGGATCTTCTGAACATTGTGGGCGCTTGCCCCTAGTGCCTCAGGGATGCAAGGCGCAGCAGACCTGCAAAGTAAACTCTAATTAGGAACAAGCATTAACCAAAATCCCAGCAAAACCACTCATGAGCATTGTGTGGGAATAGGAGGAGAGGGGTGGAGACAGACTTTGTTTTATCTAGATAGGAATAAAGTTTATAAACCAGGACTACTACTAATAAGATAAAGACAATATCCTCTGGCTTATAGCATCTGAGTAATTACTGTTTTTCATTCTGTGTTCCTTTTTGTACCTTAGAAAAAGCAAGAAGTCCACTCAAGCAGCTTTCAAAGTGGAAACCCATGGCATTTTTTGTTTTGTTTTCAGGTAGCTAAGATCATATTGGCTTATGAGTTTACTATTTGCATATACTTTACCCATACCTGAGGATCACCAAAACCCAGAGCAGGTGGGGAAAAGAGAGAGGAATCAAACTTAACCTGCCTGAAGGTGAGGCCCTGTGGCTGTCCAGCCCACTGCTTTCCATGCAAATGTACTTTACCTGGGCACTGTCATTCACGCAGTCCAGTGTGTGGTGATTAATATTCAGCTAAACCCCCGGGCAGGCAAGTAGGCTGGAGCCCAGTCACCCCAATGCTCTGTGTCACTGTGATGGTGTCTCTGTCTGGAAGGGCAGCAGCCGGGTTGTGTATCCAAAGCAACCTGCATGCTTATTTTACCTCTCTTTTAGGAGAGGTGCAGTATATGGCGTGTTCAAATACATGCTACGATGTGTTCTCTCTCTTTCTTAGACACTATTCAATTAACAAGAAGTTGTGTGGGCTTTGGCACTGATACTAGTAAAACACACGGATTTGGGCCCTGAGAGGTGATTGATATTTCTCTCTTGGTTCAGAAGGGTGCTCTTTCCGGTGTGAATTCTCTGATGTCTAGTACTCTCTGATCTCATTCAGCAGCACGGCATCCTCTCCAGCAGCAAGTGTCTCCTCTCTGCAGCTGCCTATTTTCACAGACCTTGTAGGAACTGAATTACCTAAGCAACCTCTAGCACAGTTTTACATTTGGTTGGCTTTGGCCAGAGGATTCAAAAGCTATTACAGGGAGAGTCACACATTCATCGTATGTTCACATAAGCCTTTAAAAATCCTGCTTCTGCCATGCTGATTACCGTGGATGGTCCCCTTTGCTGAAAAATGAGTCATAATTGCAGAAAACAGTGCAGAATTTGGACCTAAGCCATTAATGCTAATGTAATATATGGTGAGAAAATACTATTAACATTTGGATGGAGGAGTTACAATACTCTCATTACCACACATTTGCATTCCTTAGCTTCTATGTGATTACAACCTCAGCTTTGAAGTTGTGCTACCACAAAGACATCTTGCTGTTTTGATTTTTTTCTTGGTGTGCGCATATTTAGAGCCATAGTCAGTTTGCTAGTAATAATAATATCACTCTCACAGTGATTCCTGCAGTGCCCAACCAAGATCTCAGATTGTGAGGACAGACGACTATAAAAGGGTCAGTTCCCATCCATTTTCCAAAGTGAGTTTCTGGAGACTTATGGAGAAGTCACCTCACTGCATTGTGGCTGTTTAAACCCTCCCAGTCCAAGCTAGCTGACCAGGCTTCCTGCATGTTGATCGGGGAGAGAGAGAGAGCAAAGCACCTCTAGAGGGCAAGTCATCCCACCTATTGTGGATGCCTCTCTCACAGGGAGCTTATGCCAAGCGCCTCCCTTCAGATGACCGAAGGTGGCTGCAGCGAAGCCTTCCCAAGGTGACTGTCCTGACGGAAAAAGCTTAGACTGCGCAGGCGAGGCTGCATTTGCAGCCAGCCAGCCAGCAAAAAGATTTTTGCTGATTCACTTACCAGCATTTTCCTCTAGGTGTGGCCCAGGGAAGATTTTTCTTGTGCCTTTTTCTAGATACCAGTGGTCAGACAAGGATCAGGAGGATTCCCGTGGTCTCAGTTGGAGCTGTCATGCTGCAATGCTTTCTCCAGGAGAGGCTGAGAAAGTCTCGTTCCCTGACTGTCTGTGTATGAGCAGCAGCAGCGTCAGAAGGCAGCAAGACAGACCTACCTCCTAGAATAATTGTGATGCTTCTGGTGCTCTTTGCATGACAAAAATGTATGAAGAGACCAGATGGGCAGAGATGAGGCCAGAGACTATTTTCAGTAAATATGCCCACATGTGAAAGATCTGGCAACCTCCGTACTATTAATAGGACCATATTTTATGATATATCAGAAAGCAGTAAGCTAAGTTATGAACCCTCTAAATAGCCTGAGAACTCCCTAGCACATGATTTAGACGGAAAACACCCATTTCCGATACGCTGCATACGGTCCTATAAGTTTCCCGTGTGTTTTTGCAGAAACAGCCAAGTTAGGCTCCTTGTTGCTGTTGTAAATCAAAAGCAATTTTCCCGAGAGTTAGTTCACATTGCCCTGGTGTAAGTGGGAAGAGCATCTGACCAAGAAGCCCTGGGGCTGTATCCTGGCCAGGAGGATGTCGGCAGGGTTAACTCTAATTGCCCAGGGTGGGGCCCTGATCACCCTCATTTTTGAGGAGAAATATAAACATATATACGGTGCTCACAAAGCATATCAATACAGAGTGGGTGTTTTAAATCTATTTTGTACTGACACTGCAAAAGTCTTTGTACTCCCTGTGGATGGAGAACAGCTGCTGGAGTCATCCAGTGCATTCATTTCTGGACATCGAGGAGGGTAGTAAAGGATGTGTCAACAGACTTGAAACAAAGTCAGAGTTACCTCTGTGGCCTTTGCAGAGAAGGGAGCTTCCTGTTGGTGTGTAGGAAAGCGCATGGGCACCAGATCCCACCCAGCGAAGGCTGAAGGCATGGTGATGCTGGTCTGCCCCAGCCTTGAACCTGGCCAACGGAAAATGCTCTCTGCGGGTTACTATACGGAAGTGCATGAGAAGGAGGAAGGTGCTGATTTTGTAACCAGCATCTATATTGCAGTTTTAAATTAATGGCAAGTTGTTTTAATCTTGGGACAGGTGTTCTTTTTTATTCTTGTCCCTGTAGCAGAATAAATGAATGAAATAAAAAATGAATAAGAACTTGAGCCTTCACATAATGAATATTGTGGATACAACTCCTCATAAATTACATTCCAGGCTCCCAAAGGGTAACCTCTCTTATATGTTACTGGGATAATTGTATGTTTTTTCAAAGGCTCTCTTACAGCAAAACCCTGAAAAGTTAGCACGGCTCCTGCGGGTTAGGGAGAGTCTGATGGAGGAGGAAGAACGGTAGGGTCATTAGGAAACATCGTTAGAGGCTTAAGAGCTAATGATCCAAAGCACATTGACATTAATGTGACTCCTTTCTTTGGACTCGGGCACCTGGACACATCAGTCCTTGCTCATGATATTCAAAATGTCTGATTTTCATGCATGATTATCTGTTTTGGAGCAGGGAATGTTTTTTCTTTTTTCTCATCTGAAGGTTAAAAAGCAAACAAATAAAACCCTTTGGCTGGACAAATGAGCATCTACAGCTGGAGGGAAGTTTTCCTAGGATTACTCCCATCATTAAATGCTGCTTTAATTTCTTTTCTATGTTAATAGAAACACTAACTAGTTCCAGAGAAAAAGCTTAAGCTTTTAATGAAATTAAAAGTCAGAAATTAATGCTCGCCAAAACCCATCTTATTTGGCTGTTGCAGCTGTCACAAAAGAACATTTCCACCTACTGCAGTTAATCCACAGGGCTGAAACTAAGCCCTGCATGCAGCAGATGCCCCTGGTGAGCTATTCAAGCGGGCTGAGCATGCTGAGGTGCTGTCGCTGGGCTTGGGCAGGACAGGCCTGATTGCAGGGACATAGCACTGGGGCAACGCTCAGAGATCCAGCCGGCTGCGGAGGGGTATGCTCACGAGGCTTACGTCATGGTGCCTGCATGATTTATCTAATGCGTGGGTAGTAGGGCAGAGAGCCCTAGCTCATTAGCCGTGCTGAGCTGAGACTAATGACAGCCCCGGCAGAGCAGCAGAGGGACGGAGGAGTGGCTTGGAAGACCAGAAGTGTCCATCAAGAGAAGGGATTCCCCTCCGAACACTGTCTCACCCCTCAGCTGGGGACAGTTTGGAGCAAAGCCGGGTTCCCGCTGGACAGGCTGGGCAGGTGTTTCCACCGGTAGTGGTTGCTTGTGTAGGTCCACATCAAGATCTACCCTCTACGTGAAGCAACAGTTTTTGTTCATGCATTTTAACCTAATCCTGGCTGGGTAACACACAGGGATCTCACTTATTCACATTACTCCATCACAGTTTAAAAATTCATTAATTGTTCAGCAATAAATTCTCAGCAGACTACCCTGACGAGATGAAAAACACAGGATGTCAGGTAATGAATCTTCATAGCAATACCTTGAAAGTAAGGCCTGCTCTCCTAGTCCACCCTGTTCCTGCGGCTGAATGGAAAGGGTTTGGTTTCTCACATTTCATTTTTTATTTCCGTTTTTCTGCAGAATGTGCAAGTAACGGAGACGAATTCCCCATCTGTCAAATATAATCCATACGGCAGCCATATGATCTCCTCCCCACTGTTTCAGTGACCTTCGATCTGGCAGGGCAGTCCTGCCTGAATATCAGCATGAGCACCGAGTCGCTTCCAATCTCCATCCTGTTCTCTCCTGAGCAACTTATTTAACTGTGACGATTTACATACGGTAGTTTTATAGCGTGGACTAGGATACTCCAGGGACCGATTTGAGACTCATGAGTCTGTTTCAGTATCTTTTTACCTCGGAGACAGTGGGGCGGATTCAAATACTTTGTTATGCTCATTTAAATCCAGCAGCACTTCAGGGAAGCAAAACTCTCCAGATTTACCTTGGTGCAGCAGGGCAAAGTAAAGGCACCTGGCTGAACTCGTGGGCATTGTTCATCGTTACAAAAAGTGCCCTGCCTACAGAACTCACAGTACTTTTTAGCTAAAGATACAAGTATGTCACTATAAATGCAGATATTGCAGAAGGCAGGAGGAGAGCAAACAACACAGATCTTTTACGGCTAAGTTACCCTTCCCTTCCTTCTCAAAAATGTGAGAGCTTTAGAAAGAACTGAAGTCTGAACTAACTTTTGTCCTTGCTTTTTCCATGATGAAGTTATGCCAAAAGTATTTTTCCAAATAACTCCTTGCTATAGGCTGCATGGGTGGGTGACCTCCAAGTAAACCACATGCATTTTAAAATTTACTAGGGGTAAAAGGGAATCCCCTTTAACTATTCGCAACACAAAATGGAGAATCTGACAGAAGCAAAAGAGTTTTATTGAAGTTGTGGCCCCCTTTTTATTCTTAGTTACATGGAGATAGTGAAAATGTGCCTTGGGTTTCTGCCAGGGAAGACCTTAACACCATGCCATATGAGGCTGAAACAGCTGAGAGAAGGGAAGCGCAAGGAGCAGAATTCCTTGGCCTCTGTCAGTTTCTAACAGTCAATTAATTTTATTTGAACATCGCCTTTTTTTTTAGCACATAGGAATGTGCATCAGTGTCCTGAAATTAATAATAATTTAAAAAAAGGAGTTGTTGAAGCAATCGTGGCATGAGCATTTTTTTTCTTGCTTACAATTGGTCCGGTTGCAGCCTCCAAATTAAAATGAAAGTGGGAGCAAATCCAGATGTAGATTGCTTTGGGTAAAAACCGGCTCTCTCCCTTAGGACAGCTGCATGGTGCAAGAGAAGCCATCCATTTTCATGTCAGAGGCTTGTTTCCCATCAAGTGGATTGGAGCCCGTGGATAAAGTCAAGAGATACTATTCCCCTTGCACATACACGTTCCCATTACTCCTCATGTAAGCCAGTGGTGGGGACATTGCCCTCTACGTGAGGCCCCACCAGGCTCGCTGCCTAACAGGCTGCAAGCAAGTCTGCTGGCTGCTAGGTGTTGCAGCTATCGCTTTCAGCACTTCCTAGTACCTCTGAGGTGTATTAGTGAGACCAGCAGCCTTTCAAAGGGGATGTGATCGTGTCCCACCTGCCTCCTTTCTATGGAAACAGGTCCACACCCTGTGCAATTTCTCCTGAGGGTACCTCTCCTCGGCTGTATGCTCTCCCCTTCCAATATATCCCAAAGCTGAGAGGTTAGACACACTGCTGCTTTTGGCCTGCTGTGCCTCTTCTACGGACTTTCTATGCAAAGGGGTCTGTATTTTAAGGGGGAAGCAGCCTGGGAAATTTCCGAAGGCAGTAGTCATGGAATTAAAAAAAAAAAAAAACACAGGAGAAGTGAGTGGCTTCCAGCTTCCAGTATGTGTAGCAAAAAACACTTCAAGGTGATACGTGGCCCAGTACAAACCCAGGAGATGCCGCTACTGACAGCAATAATTGCACCACCTTTGCTGCTTTTGGCAGTACTGGGGGCAAAATTTTCTGTGATACCCTCCATTAGGCTAAGTTCAGTAGCTGTGCTGGTCATCCTAGACGTAGGATGAGTGAAATCTGTGCTTCTGACTCCTCTGTTGCTCATTCAAATACTGGCCTTGCCACAGAGCAGTCAAGGAGCAAACCTGGGCAAGCAGGAGACCACAGCTGGGGTGGAGCAGGCAGCAGTGGGCTGCAGAGAAAGCACACTCCACAAGTGCGAGGCTGATGGGTCTGGGTCACTTCCCTCCGTATATATGTCTAAAAGAATAAAAAAGGACTCAGCAGCTCCCAGTAAAAAGATAAATGTCTGTCATTGTTATCCAACAGGCAGGAAGGCCTGAAGGCAGTTTCACATGCAGCAAATCACTTAGGCTTTTCTCCAGCATTTCCTGCACCCCAACACCCAGAATCCTGCCCGTGGAGCTCCAGCTCCAAGGATGCTCCACGCTCACATTCAGTCCACTTTGTCAAGTTGCAACTGGGGTTCATCCTGAAATTGCAAACCTCCCAGCAGACCTCTCTATACTCCTAAGCCCAATATCAAGACCTTAATGAAATCAGCTGAATTCTTTGAGCATTCTGGGTTTTCTGTCAAAGTTTCACTCAGTTCATG